CGTTTCAGCCCATTGGGTGAGTGTTGTTTTAGTTTCAGCTAAAAAAAATAGACATATTTTTTCATAAAATTATTACTACACAAGTTAAGAAAATACTCAATCAACAATGTATATAAAATATTAGTACCTGCAACATTACGTTTCTGAAAACTCCATTGTTGCATTGTTGCACGAAAATACTCAATCAACATCAATATTGGCATCTTTCTTGCAAATCGTGACATTGAATTTATCGACTCCGCACTATTTGATGTCATAAGAAAATACCGATTCCCAGGAAAATGTGCCCTGGCCCATCTTTCTGGATTGATGTTTTGTAGGTATTCCCATACACGAATATTTACATTTTTTATTTTTTTCATCCCATTATCGAATTTTTTAATGGTATAGGCTTTGCATGTCTCCCAAAATAATGTGTGCATTGTATCGCTGCTTCCAAATTTTGCTGAAATGTTGAAATACAAATGGATACCACATATTCCATGATAGGCGTGAGGAAATATATTTGCAATTGACGTCGCTATGGATGGAGCCCTATCAGATATGATTGTAAGGTCTTCCAAATTGGCTATACATTCATGTAGCTTTCGAAGGAACCAGGACCACGTCTCAGTACATTCACTTTTGCAAATGGCATAAGCAACATGCATGATTTGGTTTTGACCGTCCATTGTCACTGCGAGCAACATCGTGCCTTTGAATTCACCCTTTAGGTGACCACCATCAATTATTAGGGTCGGCCTACAATATTTGATGAACGCTCGTACGTACAATTATTTTTTATTGCATTAACAAATACCAATTAGGATTCATATGTTATATTTGTTATAAAAATTAACACTGCTTACCGAGCAACCCAACGCGATAAACACGAATTCAAACCGATCATCATCGTCTACTCTTATCTGAGTAACAGTTCCTGGATTGTGCTTGACCAAGTTGTGCAGATACACTGGTAGTTTGGTGAATGAATCCTCTTTGGTACCTCTTAACATCAACAACGCATACTGTTTTGCACGCCATGCCTGTTGGTATGAGATATTGATTGGAAATTTCGAATTGATGTCCCTAACAATTTCATTGCCCCGATAAACTCTATTATAGTCTCCGGCCAATACTTCAGCAATAAAGTGGCCGAGTACCTTTTTCTTTGATTGTCGATGATTAGACTCCAAATTTGTCGCACAACATGTGTGTTTGTCAACAACTTTTGTGACTTGGAAAGCAGTAGTCGATTGGATTCCCCTTGCCCTAACCATCCATGAACAATTTTTAACCAAACAAACAACCTCGAACCTTCCTTTGCTCGATCTGGTAGTCTTATACTGCTTACCTTGTTCCATGCATTGTCTTCCGATTGCAAGCTTGAGCAACTCTTTGTCATCAAAAATGTCTAAAACCTTAATCTCTTCACTTATATCCACCCTCTGACATGGAATGTTCACATCAGCATTTACAGGACACGAAGGCAAAGGGGGCATACCATGAAACATGGTATCTGAATAAATAAGCTTAGATTCGTCATCTAATTCTTCTCCGTTAGAATCATTATCTAGGCCGGATATATCCAACTTGTCACAATCCGCAAACTCGCCATATCCTTTTAGTTCACCATCATGCAAAAACGAAACTTCCTGTTTTCCAAATTCATTACCAACCTTATTCACCACGGCTACTGCTTTTTTTTTTGTCAAATGATTCATTTACACCAACATCATTAACATATGCACCAACATCATTATCACCGATATACTTATAATTCTTCGGTGTAACATACATAATCGGTTCTGGCACTACATTTACATTTTCAGCAACACTATGATATTGACTTTTACTTGGATTTTTAAAATTACCTATTGGGTTGTTGCTCCCTTTTCCACTTGATAAATTTGCTGCAGATGCCTTTCCTCTATCATCCATTTCGTTCAGCCAAACGCCTTCTTCAACCACCACATACACATACACATATTTATCTCCAACGCCATTTATTACCTTTATCAGCTTTCTAATATCACGATCATCAACAATACCACAATAATAGAGTTGTTCTGGATGTTGATAGGCCAAACTAACTTTTGATTCTTCGGGAAGACCCATCTTGCACTTGACCAACTGAACAAATTCGATGAACGTTGTGTTTTCGTAAAATTCAACACCTAAATAAAACATTCTCGGATTGTATCCCAGTGGCCAAACATATGATATGGGAATTAACAAACTCCCATCTTCCATCCGTAATGAGCAATACAAAATACTCGTTACAACTCATTATCTTAATTTTGAGGATAAAGAAGCTAGAGAGAATAAACTTTCCAAAAATATAAAATACTTAATATATATAAGATAGGTTGAAAACAGTAGTCAACTCTGACGAAAAAGTAGTCAAGTTTAACAAAAAAGTAGTCAAATTTAGCAACAAAGTAGTCAACTTTACCCAAAAAGTAGTCTACTCTTTTCGTCAGAGTTGACTACTATTAAAATTAAAACAAAATAATTGTTAAAATTTAAACAAAATAATTGTTAAAGTTATTGTACATATTATAAACACTCTTTTTTATACTCTATATTACAAAAAAAATAATAATTTTTTTTTTAAAAATCAAAAATCAAAAATCAAAAATTAAAACCGTAGTTTTTGGCCAAAATAGTAAATAAAACCCCCAAAATAGTAGATAAAACCCCTCCAAAAAAAAAAAAAAAAAAACCGTAGTTTTTTTTGCGAAAACCGTAGCCTACGGTTTGGGAAACCGTAGGTTTTAAAAAACCTACGGTTTTGAATGTCAAAAATGAAAAAAAAAAAGTTTATACAAAACGCGAAACAGTAAACCAAATGGCGAAACAGTAGGCGAATTTCGAAACCTACGGTTTCGTGGGCTATTTTTGGCCATTTGCTAATTTTTGGCTAAAAATTGTTAATTACCCCCTTAATTTGGCTAGATTAGTAATTACCCCTATTATAAATTGTGAAATGTTATTAATCAAAATTTTATACCAAAAAAAGTAAAAGCAACAAAAATCTTAAATACTAAGCAAGTAAGCAGCATAGATGTAAGTTAATTCAATAACCAATATATATATATATATATAATATTATATATATATATATATATATATATATATATATATATATATATTCAACTTACAATCAATATTTCCAGAACTAAATACTCAAACTAAATGAGTAGATGGAAAAGAAAACTTCCAAATAGAAACATTCGCAAACAAACAGTAAGTATGTTATGTATTATATAGATTCAGTAGATATGACGAAATTGGTTAACTGTAATTCTTTTTTACATTGTCGGATCTGGAAAAAAAAACAAAAACAAAAAGATTTGCTATGTCAAGTATTTAAATCCGGTAATACGATTTGAAACGCAAAAACAACTTCAGTTCCTTTTTCTAGAAGACAACATATGCAAGAGTTCTCCATCAAAAACCTACTTTTCATAGCACATCAAAAAATTGAACATAATAAAAAATCTGATGGGAATAGATTTAATCTTCAAGTCCTTAATCAGACATAATATTGGGAAAAATAGGGTTTGTAATGGAGATATGGATACTGACTTGGATCGTGATATCACTTTTCGAACTGATATTTCTACCCTATGCCTAGGTTACAAGAAATTCAGCCTAGGATAATCCAAGTGGACACTTACGATTCTAGGCACAGAAATCGTAAGCCAATATGCTAGAGGATTTTGTGAAAGTGTGATGAAATACGAGAGCTTAAGATCATAACCCTCTTCTGTATAAGAAGAGTTGTTTATATACTAAACACGATTAGGGTTTTATTAGGGTTGGGCCGTCATTAGTTGCTTTGGAAACAAGTAATGTTAACCCGGATTTAATGAGGATTTAGGACCCCAGCCAGGGGCTCTGCCCCTTGGACCCCGCTAGGGGCGCTGCCCCTAGACCCCGCCAAAGGAGCGCTGCCCCTTTGGAAACCCAGGACCCGAGGGCGCTACCCCCGGACCCCCGACTAGTCGTCGAACCGGCTTCTAATTCGATCTTATACATGCGTGCACTCCGCACAACCCCATACATATATTAGAGTACAAATCATGAAGCCCCTTAGCTCACATGTTAGTTCCAGTTATTTAAAATGACATGATGACACTAAAATCACCAACACATAATATTATTGAAAAGAAACACCCATATTTGTCTTCTTGTGTGGAGTTTCCTTGTAATATAGTCCTGAGAGAACAAAGTAACACCAAAATCAATCAAACACACAAACAAATACCACAACTCCATAATATATCCAGGTATATAACATACACAACGCAAATACATATCTATAATTATCTACAACATATGCACACATATCTACATAATGAACAGTAAGCCAATAGAGAGATTCAGAGAAGGAAATAGCCATAGGTAATAGTGGCGGATGTATACCCTATCTTAAAGAACGTAGCTCTTTAAATAAGATACAAGCGATGGCCTTCTTCATGTTCTCAATATCCCAAATCTGCTACTAATCTGGGTTTACTCGGCCATTTTCGGTCTCAAGAAACAAAATATTACATGAACATGAGGGGTTTCAAACACCAGTGAGGCTACTCCCACTTCTTGTTCCTACAAGAAAAGAAAACGACCACGACCTATATATATAAAGCAACAATAAAGAAACTTTGTGTCAGTAAACGCTGCTTTTATACCTTGATTATATGAAGCAAATACGAACATTTCAATGAACAGGAATTGAGAGAGAAATCAAGTTGTTACCTTAATCACTGGAAGGTATTGGGGATCTAGATCCCGAAATCCGGTGGTGATGTCTTGATAAATAGAATCAATAAACAGAAGTAAGGAGAGAGATGGTAGCGGTGAGGAAAAGAGGTGTTGGTTGATCTAAAAAATAGTTGAGAAAGAGGTGGTGGTGGTGGCGGCATCAACAGATACATCGACGACGGTAGGAGACAGGATTGAAGGGGGAAAGGCGTCAATCGAGATAGAGGTGGACTTCCGATAGTCAGACTTCAACGATGGTCGATGGACGTTCAGGTTGTAGAGGTGGTGGGTTGAAGGACACAGAGGCGGAAGAGTTTAGACTTTTTAGGGTTTCTGAGGTTTGTTGTATGTTATCATTGAGGAGTCCATCAGATCCTTTGCAAATCAATGATCCACATTAAACACGATGGAAATCCATGTGACTACCATGTAAGCAGTCCGTGTCATTTTGTCTTTTTAACATATGTTGTATATTGTGCAGAAAAACTTGTATTTAAGAGTTTTTGCTTAAAAAGCATGTATCTTGTGCATAATAGCTTGTATTTAAGAGTTTTTGTATAAATGCTTTATAAGTAGTAAAGATAGGGTATACATCCGCCACTATTACCTATGGCTATTTCCTTCTCTGACCTCTCTATTGGCTTACTGTTCATTATGTAGATATGTGTGCATATGTTGTAGATAATTATAGATATGTATTTGCGTTGTGTATGTTATATACCTGGATATATTATGGAGTTGTGGTATTTGCTTGTGTGTTTGATTAATTTTGGTGTTACTTTGTTCTCTCAGGACTATATTACAAGGAAGCTCCACACATGAAGACAAATATGGGTGTTCTTTTCAATAATATTATGTCTGATTAAGGACTAGAAAATTAGATCTATTCCCATCAGATTTTTTATTATGTTCAGTTTTTTGATGTGCTATGAAAAGTAGGTTTTTGATGGAGAACTCTTACATATGTTGTCTTCTAGAAAAAGGAACTGAAGTTGTTTTTGCGTTTCAAATCGTATTGCCGAATTTAAATACTTAACATAGCAAATCTTTTTGTTTTTGTTTTTTTTTTTTCGATCCGAAAATGTAAAAAAGAATTACAGATAACCAATTTTATCATATCTACTGAATCTGTATAATACATAACATATTTAATGTTTGTTTGCGAATGTTTTGATTCGGAAGTTTTCTTTTGCATCCACTCATTTAGTTTGAGTATTTAGTTCTGCAAATATCGATTGTAAGTTGATTATATATATATTTCTTGTGTTATTGAATTAACTTACATCTATGCTGCTTAGTATTTAAGATTTTTGTTGCTTTTACTTTTTTTGGTATAAAATTTTGATTAATAACATTTCATAAAGACAATTTATAATAATATCCTATACAAAACATATAATTTGTTCAACGAAAATATATTTCAAAAATATATTGATTCTATTAAAAAAAACAAAAGAAAATTGTATTTGAATAAAAAAACTTTATGGTTATTTGATATTCGTGTTTTTTTTTTTTCATTCAATGTGTTAGATGTATACATGATAAAAGTTGTTTCTCTTTATTATACATTATAAATTATAGATGTTTTTGTTTTCCTTTTTTGTTATTATGGTATGTTAAGATTTTGATGAATTTATAAAAGAATAACTATTTATGAGGGTAACTTTATTTTTACAGTTGTTTTTTTTGGTGCAAGTGAAATAAGTATAATCAATAAAAATATTTAAACAATAAAATGAAAGTTATTACATACTAATATAATATGGCACAATTTTGTAGAAGATGAATTCACCTTTTTGTGTTGAAGATTTTGCATCACTCCAAAGTTGTTTTATGTGGTGGGATTTGACAACCGTCAGGGTTGAGTTTGTTTGGAAAGACATCAAGAGGAACAAACTATTTATTATCCTTCTTGATAAAAATGTAAGTTATAACTTATAAAAACATGTATATTAATATGTTTAAAATTATTATTTATTATTTATTTAACTATTATCATATATCAGAGACACAAAATGGCTGCTATTGTCCCACCAAACCTTATCCAGTTATACGAGAAGAAGAATTTGATTGGACAAGTTTTTTCTTTGGGTCATTTCCAAGTTGAAAAAATCATAGAAGATTATCCCAAAATTGAAAATTATAGCTTTGTATATAGAGATTTGGAGATAATTATCGACAACAAGACAAAGTTTAATCGCTTGACAACCGATATTGAAAAGGGGTTTGCACTTTATCCGTTGGTGGCTACTATTAAAACTCTATAGGAAGATAGGACATGTCGGACAATGATGATTGGTATATCTATCTATTTATCATGTTTATATATATATATATATATATATATATATATATATATATAAATATTTTAAGTAATTACACATAATAAATTTAAATCTTTCTATTTTTAGATGTGGTTGGAAAAATTATCATGGGCAGAATACAATATGTACATGTTAACAGATGGGTCCGACTTCGTTGGTATAATATATATCTTCAGGATGGGACGTAAGTGTTAATATATTATATATATGTAACTTATATTAAAATATAACAATTTTAAATAACTTTTAACTATATTTGGTTATAAATAGGGGGCATATAATAAATATGAAGTTGCATGAAACACCGCGAACAAATGTTGTAAGGACCTTTTGTGCGATGAAGAAAAAAATCCATAATCTATGCCTCTCGAGTAAAATTGGTCCATCTAAATTCAAGTAAGTTATTATTATTATTTTTAAAATATTTTATGTTTGCCAAAAAATATTAAACTCATTAATTTAATATGTGTTATTAATTACATATTATTTTATTTTCAGTGAACATTTTGATTTCAACCGAATTAACAGACATTGAGTTCGAACCGGAAATGCCAGAAGCGGATAACATTCGGATTATGCATCGTAACATCTTTGGAACTAACTGATCGATCAGAGAAGGAAATAGCCATAGGTAATAGTGGCGGATGAATACCCTATCTTGTGCATAATAACTTGTATTTAAGAGTTTTTGCTTAAAAAACATGTATCTTGTGCATAATAGCTTGTATTTAAGAGTTTTTGTATAAATGCTTTATAAGTAGTAAAGATAAAGATATATATATATATATATATATATATATATATATATATATATATATATATATATATATATATTATATAGTTTTTGTATAAATGCTTTATAAGTAGTAAAGATAAAGATATATATATATATATATATATATATTATATATATATATATATATATATATATGTGTTTGTGTGTGTATGTGTGTGTGTGTGTGTGTGAGAGAGAGAGAGAGAGAGAGATCATCTTATTTTGTAAGACATGGGGACACAATCCTATCTATTCACTTTGGAGATAAAAGAATATTTTTAAAATGCAAAATAAATAAAATTTTTCAAAAAAAAAATTAATATTATTTTCGTCATCTATTTTATCCAAAAATAAATTACCGTTTTTTTTTTCAGAATAAACGTGAAATATTTTAATAAAATATTATACTATAAATATTCAAATTGAATTTTTAGAATGTTAGAATATTATACTAGAATATTAAACTATAAATATTCATTAAAATTCTAATAAAATATAAAATTTTTGATTATATCATTTTGGATCATAAAATTATGAATCATATCATTTTGAATAGTATCATTTATGAATCATATGATTATGGCACATAATATGTTGAATTAAATAAAGTTTTCGTTCGATACAACATTTGAATCATTATATTTTTTGAATCATTTAATCTTAAATCATAAAAGAGATAATAATTAAGGATCATAATTTTTTTTTGAACGGCATCATAAAATATTTGAATCAAAATATGTTTAGATAATAACAAGTTAAGGATCATTAACATATTGAATCATAATATTTTTTAATGATAAATATTTTAAATCACATTATGTTCAACATCTTTTTTAAAAAAATTTAATCTTTTAAATCAAGTTGGTAGTCTAAAACACCTTATTTTTTTAAAAATTCCGTTGACTAAGTCACTATAATAGTAAGTAGAAGTATTCCTTAATTTTTTTTTAATTTTTGGAGAATTTTTTTCTATGGGTTGTTTATAATTATAATAAATTGAAAAATAATTTTTTTTTTCAAATTATCATAATTGTGTTCATTTGTAGAAAATTAATTTTAAAAAATTTAGTTTTTCCAAAAAAAATATTTCAAAGAAAAAAAAAGCTATTGTCAAAATACACATTATAAACAAATAATAATAATAAAAACCAATAAAAGTAGATGCTGACACATGTCCTCGGAAGAAGTTGGTTGCGCGCCCGGAGCGTGGAAGAACTTGTTGCGCAAGGGTTTTTCTCTCAAATTACCATATAGCCGAAGCGTGGAAGAACTTGTTGCGTAAGGGTTTTGTAACGTCCCGAAAACGATAATAAAAATTTTCATTTAAAAATCAAATCATTCATTAATTGTTCAAAACCAACATCAAGTCATAATATTCAAAACATCAGAATACAATTATTTCAAATGCATATTCATGAGGGGATGATGTTGTGCCATCACGCCAGACCCTTCCCTTTTGAACCGGAAGTACTTGAAACCATAAACGTAAACTGTAAGCACAAAGCTTAGTGAGTTTTCCCAAAGTACCACATACAATACACATATACATATAACAACACGTGGCTGTGTCAGGTATGTATCAACCCCATGGGACAACATGTAGTTGTGTCGGGTTTGTATCAACCCCCGGGTCTGTATCAATCCATATGACAGTAAGTAGCTGTGTCGGGTTCGTATCAACCCCCGAACCCATAATGGCTCCGAGCCTAGAGTAGCTCTATGCATATAACATACAATCATACTAGTAATAGTCACAACCACAACAAGCATATACGAGTATATCAGTAAGTGTCACAAAGGCCACTACTATCCTACAACATAATCCAGTGGGCCGACATTAGTGCCTTCGACCCACAAGTACAGTGAGGAGACTCGCCTCAAACGATGTCCGGATAAAACAACACTCAGTCAGCTGCTACCAAACCTCCTTACACTAAACATATCCACACAACCCTAATTAGCAATATGGGTAACATTCCATAATTAAGGATCCTAAGCATGCACTCCTTGGGATAGATGACCATCATGCCCCTTATTTGCTAGGACTCGCCCCTAAAGTCAGACCATGTCAAAAGTCAACTCCCAAAGTCAAATCCATCGGTCAAAACCCTAATGTCGGGTCTCATGTTGTGATAATTCCTTGGTCACGTCGTAAGAATCGACCAGGTTCGAATCCAACAACTCGTTTCAGACTCAGACAACTCCGTCGTGGGTTTCCCCGTTCTCACGTCGTGATTTCTGTTTGAAGCTAAAAGGCACGGTTTTAAGTCCTTAATTCGTTCAGCCATAGAATCCATCTCATTCAGAAGTTAAACGGGATCCTATGGTTCGCCATAAAAAGTGTAAAATACCATGTTCATTCAAACTATGCTTTAACCTACACATTTTAACTTATATTCTTATATATAGAATTTTTAACATATTTTTTTTTACAAAATAAAAACACTAAACTAACATAACTACACATATTAACTTCAATTCTAAAAGAATATTTCATTTATGTTTCTTGCTTAAACTTCAATTCCATCAGAATTCTAACAGAATAGTATCTACTTTACTTCTAACAGAATAGTTCAACATAATAAACATGTTACTATAATTTTAACAAAATAGTATGTAGTTTACCTTAACATATTCTGACAGAATCTTCTGAATAAATTCAACAAATCAAACTTACATCATTTACACAAAAACCTTCTCTTTTTGACATTATATCTAACACTTGGAAGGCATGTTTTATTATCAACATTCAAAAAACACAGCAATACAAGCAATATTCAAAAGCATTGATAACAGAAAAAATTGTTTCTTGATTCTGATTCACTTCCAAAATCACAACTAGTAGATAGAAAATTTGAGTACAATCGATGCTAAAGAGATAAAATACTGTCTGATTCTTATTTGGATTCCAAATAGGATGAGTACATAAAAGAATGGAGCTTAATCGGTCAGTGTTACTAACCTTAATCACGAACACAAAAACATATGATGATTTCAACAACATCAAAAGAAATCGATGGATTTTAAAGCCTTGATATCTCTTCTCTCTCTCCATGTCTGCCGTGCTCGTGATTCCTATCGATTTCAGTAAAAGAAATCGATGGATTTTACATAGGAATCGAATATGTATTTCAGCAAAAGAAATCATAGCTACAAATCGAGAATCGAATATAGATTGGTGCAGGTGCTTACCGGGATCATCGAGGTTGTGTCTGACGATGGTGGCGGAGACGAACTCAACGGGTTTGTTGGATAAAGGTTGTTGTGTACGTGCATGTTTGTATTGGGCGCATGTGACCAGAATATAGGCTACAAGAAGAAAGATGATGATTGCGATGATAATAGATGCAACGTGAAGTCAGGTGGAAAAGATGATCTAGGTAAAGGCCGGAGGGAATCGAAAGTGGGTGAAGGGATCGACAACAATGGTGATAATCAAGCGTAGGGTTTTTTCTATAGGATTTGTCTTTGATATCCATTGTTTAAAAGGATAATAATTATATTAATTATATAAATATGCAAGGATTACTATTATACCCTTAAATGATTTATTTAATTATTTATTATTTTATGATTCTCATTGGTGGTTACAAGCACACAATAGTTGTAAAAAAACATATGAACCTCTCTCTCTCTCTCTCTATATATATATATATATATATATATATATATATATATATATATATATATATATATATATATATATATATATTGTCACACCCCCGAACCAGACGGTAGAAACGTCCGGGGGCTTGGCGTGACTTTCAACATTGTAGTATCATTACAGAGTATATAATTGAAACATAACATCATCATCATCACACATGTAATATAAAAACATTCATTGTTTACATCGAGTATTGTATTTGAATATTACATGCCAAAATAGTCAGAGTATGATGAAACAAAATATAACACAATATCCATTAGTTTGTTTCGTTCATCCTGCTTCAACGGTTTCTTGAGAATACAAGTTATTTTGAAAACGGTCAACATAAAAATGTTGGTGAGTTCATAAGCATGTTTGTGAAAATGATTTGTATAACTTTGAAACCACCAGAAAATCCTATATTTTCTGCAAACTGTTTAGTATGTTTGTGTCAGATCTTGTATTAATGCATGTATGTTATTGTTTATTTGACTAAAAGGGTAAACAGAATGTAGAGAG